GCTTAAGTCAAACAAGCATAACAAAGACATTTACAAACACTACAAGACAAGCAACACGTCATCACGGTGAAGGGTAACTAAACGTTGGAGGTTCGACTCTCATCCTCTCCTGGCGACTTACTTGCGAGTTACTATTATCACACAAGCGAGCAAAACATGCCAAGCACACTTCTACTTACTAAACACACTTTGTCTATGCATCATGTAAAACAAGTAGTATAGACAAACGTATATTAACCCTAATCTAAACACCTAATATATATATATAAGCTTAAATAATTGTAACCAAGGAATAAAAAGGTGGCGCACCAGACATCTATTTTGGAGGTGAAAATTTTATGGAAGGCATATCTTAACTAAACAAAGTTAGTGTATGAATTTCATAATTTCTGGATAAGCAGATTATTTGCTAGCATTTAATTAAGACTTAATGGTAATAAAAGCATGTGACACGTGTTAAATCAATAGCTCAGGAAATATGCATTCATTGGACATGAAACTTTTACCACAGCACACACACATCAAGAACAACTTACTATAAAAATTTCACTACATTTGCACTACCCAAATATCCTCTACTAATTTATCAAGGAAAACATAGATTTGAAAATACAGCAATAATTTTATACTAAACATGTGATATTATAAATCTAATGCATAGATCTAGTCATGAGGAGTGTAACAAAACTGGTTTGGCATTTTTAGGATTTTTCTATAATTTACTATGAATTTTTAAATTTTCAGCTGATTTAAACATAAAAGGAAAAGATAACAGGTAAAGGAAAACACATTTTGCATCGAGAACCCTGTAATTTCTACTAATCTACTCGCAGGAAATAGTTACCGTACGCAACCGTTCATATGAGTAGTACTTTGCATCTAGACCCAAGAAAGAGCTTCTATTTGAATCCTCGTCCTTCATCTTCTCAGGCTCGAGCAGAGAACGCATGGGGGAGCCAGCGGGCAGCCGATTCGTCCGGCTGGGAACCCGTCGGCGGCGAGGAAGAGGCCGGCAAGGGTCGCGGCACCCTCACCCACCCGCGCCTAGGGGCGGATCGGCCAGAGATGGCAGCCCGGCCACGGCTGTTGGCGGCGGGTGCGGCCGTGGCCCGGCGCTAGAAGCACTCAGGTGGCTCGCTGCACACTCGGGCGAGAGCGGAGGTGGCACGAGGCGGTTGCGGGGCCAGAGAGGCAGAGCTGGTGGCGGCTAGCGGCTTGGCGCGAGATGGCTGGGAGCGGCGGAGACGATGGCTAGGCGTGGCTGGCGCACGCGCGTGCTCACGCTGCAGCGGCAGCTCCCGGCGCGGCTGAGGTGCGTGGGGCGGAGAGGTGGACGAGGCGGAGGCGGTGGTGCACGTGGTGGGGCACGAGGGAGCTCGAGGGCAGGGAACAAGCGGTGGTCGCGGGAGCTCGACACGTCCATGGTGGACGCTTGGCTCGACAGCGGCAAGGGGAGGAAGGGAGAGTGCGGTAGGGAGAGCGAGGAGTTGGGCGCGGGCTCGCCTCCCCCTAAAGCCCAGCGCGGAGGATAGGGCGGCATGGACGAGCGGGCGAGCAGGGCATGTGCGGCCATGGCGCCCCTATGTGCGACGTGGGCTGGGCACGGGCAAGGTTAGAGCAGGGCGTGGGTGCGGCAGTGGCCATGTGCCTCTCTTTGACGCCCGGTGCAGTGAGTTTGGTCGAGAACTGGGTCCCACGTCCTATACAAAAGATCTTCGTGAAATTGTAGACTATAACTTTGCTTAAGGGACCAAGGTCATTAGGGCAGCAGATTAGCGGGTAATTAGGGTCAAAATTAGCAATGTCAGTGAAAACACTAAGAAACTTTCTAAGTCCCCCAGAAAACAATATTTTATTCAAACTTTGAAGCACTAATTAACCTATCAAACATGCAAACTGAGCACCAACAAGCACTCCACCACAAAGTTCATAACTTGTACTAAGTTTTTCACACGGGCATATTTTAGAGTTTATTAATAAATTATTTATTTATTCAGCCTTCAACAAGCTATCAAGCAATTAACACCAATTAAGGGTTTTGACATTTTTAAGCATTTTCTCCATATTTTCCCAACATGAACCCTAAACAACTTATGTTCACAAACTCATTTAGAGATGTTTAAGCACAAAAATAAAGTTGGTTGACATCACATATGTTGACCCTATATTAATAAAAGGTGATTCAAACAAAGAAAGCCTTGTCATTTTGTGGTCTTTTGATTTCAAACATTATGCAAACACCACATATGATCAAAATACACTTAGGTTCATGCAAAGCACTTAAGCAACACTATTCATGCACATTTTTATTACTGACAAAAGATTTGTCTTTTCCTAAAAAGATTTAGGTTGGCTATAATTTAAAAGAACTTTTACTCCACATTTTTAGTATTACAAACAAAAGATCATTACAGAGCGCATGAAACTTACTAATCAAGTTTTATTATCTTTAACCTATCGCTAATCAGGTACTTAACACCAAGGGTGTTACACAGGAGAACCCCTCCTCTTGCAGATAATAGCCACATATTGGTCATCTACCGACGAAATCAATGCCTACAACATTGAACTCGTCGTGACAATTATTGAAGTCACCCGATCGAAAATCATCTGATTTCGTCGGTAGATTTATTTGGGCAAAACCGCAAGCAACTAGACATAAAAAACTACAAAAAAGAGAGATATGTTCCCTCTCCTCATCACCAGAAGACGCACCGGCAAGGAAGGAGAGAGGCCCTGGGCGGCGGTGGCGAGGAGCAAGATCTGCGGCGGCGGGGTTTTCCTAGACGCGGCCGGAGGCACTTCTCTCTTCATTCAAAGGTGAATCTTGAGAATGTTTTATCAGGATTCCAAAAAGTCCGTAAAATATACCATTACTAGAATCAGGGCCCTTTGGAATGGAGGTGAAACAAAGGAAAAGCAATAGGATTGAGATTCCCTTTTGATTGGTAGGAATTGGTCATAGGAATTCCATAGGAAACTTTCCTTTCCCTTCAATTCCATAAGAAAACTATAAGAAAAAAAAACAATCCACCTAGACCTCATGGAAAAATTCCTATGCACAAGGAACAAGGCAAACAATGGTATTATGAGACCAACTTGTGTCTAATCATGAGAGTGGAATAGAAGAAATTAGCTTGATTAAGAAAACAATCACTCTTTGCTCCTCAAAATTTCTTTAAGATTCCTGTGTTTCTCCTTTGCCTATCTAAACACCTTGGTATGAAAAATTCCTATGTTTTAGATTCCTCTGTTTTTCACTTGCATTCCTATCCTATTCCTACCTTTCTCCTTTTCCTGTGGTTTACATTCCTACAATCCAAAGGAGGCCTCAGTTTTCATGTAATTTACCGGTCAGTGATAGGCAGATTTGCTCGAGAACACTACAACAAAATAAAATAATTCCACCGAGAGAGCAAGAAACACTAAATTGTTTGTAGTATGCCAATTAAAATACTCGTTGCGGTATTTAGGAGTTAGGACCAAGACGAAAGTAGGCAAAGGCTTATTTGATTCCCTCTTGGCTGGGAAATGGTGTGGATCAAAGGAAACATAACATGTAACTCTACTGATGACTCTCGGCCAAGAGGCGTCTCGGTTCAACATATACATATCTAAAAAATGGAATGGATTTTATTGCAGCAAAAGAATGGAAGCCAATTGCAGTTAGCTCTGCTCTTTCCATTCTTCAACATTCAACACTACTTAAGTCTTTAAACACTGCACAATAAGAACAAGAAGCTTGAGGAATGATATACGTTTTCAACAATGGTGATCACAAGGTCAATTACGAGCTCTAGGCCTCTAGCTACCGAGCAATATTTTTTTTTTCTGAACATCTTGGGAGGAGCTCCATTGGCTCACCGCCTGAAATAACAATGTACTTGATGGCAAGATGGGCCTCCTGCATGGCTACATGTCTAGAGTAAGAGTACAATGTATTTGATACAAGCCGAACCCCCAGAGATTTTCGTGATGCCATATCACTAAGCGTACCCTAACACCACATGACGCCACAACACCTCAAAAAACCAATATTTATATAGTATATAAATCTAGTTCAACACCAAACCCCATCACAGTTGCTACTTGCAAGATTCATCATCTGAAATCTGGATGCAAAAAATAGAAATACCTTTACTCTTTTCCTTTGCAATAGTTCTACAGGATTCAATACTTAAATGTTGTATAGCTCAAGTATTCAGCTTTTGATGTCATCACACATTCACATGGTGAGTGTCCACAATTCAGAACTTTGACCGATAAATCACGGGTTCTTCTGGCATTTGAGTTTCTGTTGAAGCACCTTGTAATATCTCAAGTACCACACTCTGCAAATGTTATCTTGTACAATTAAATAAGGTAGCTGTAAAAGTACCATATCAACTATTAGTAGGCCTATAGCTAACCATCACATCGTTTTCGACAACATTTATATCAAAGAAGTGATCAGGCAGCATCTATAAACAAGCTTTTCTCAATCATGTAGTTGTCACAAACTCAGACAGTTTTTTAGGTTAATGTGGCAGAGTTTTCGATTTTTACCATGAAGTTGCTGGAACCACCTTGAAAGATTTAAACTTGCAGTATAGGAAAACATGTACTGACTGATACTGGACTGAGGCAACAAGAATAATCACAGGTACCATAATCACTCACTAGTGAAGCCAAGGAAAAAAAATAACCCATGCTACTAATAAGAGACTATAATTATAGAAGCACAGAGGTAGCATTTGACACATTTATCTTGAACACAAAGAATCATAGGTTGGGCAACTGCATTCATCGAGATAACTAGATGTATACCAAGCTTCAGCCTGTCTCAACTCTCAACATGCTTGCAGTGTTAATTGGACGACAGAAATGACACATCCAAGCCCCAGCAAAATGTGTCACCTAATTCTACTAAATGTGCCCATACCCAGTTGCTAAGTACTCCATGATTGGAAAAGATCTTATTTCTGTTTAACATGCCAGTAAGTAGCCCACAAGCACCAATTTCACTGCTTATTTTCAAGCGCCAACAACTCTGAGAAGCAGGGGACATATGGAGTAATGCACTCATAGTCATAGCCATGTTCGAGAGTGCAGAGATCACGCACTTCCTTACTATCCATGTGATATGATATCAGCTTTTGGCCCTGAACAAGAAAGACCAAACTTTGATCTGGATGAATTCCCACCACATTGTAGTCAGAGTCAATGTCCTTATGGCAATTCCTTTCCCCAAACAACTTTGAAAAGCTTAGAGTGTCCCTCAGGACCCATTGTTGTCTCTCATAGTCCTCAAGAACCCAGATTAATAACCCATCACCGTCAAATCCTTCATCATCCATTTCATGGTTGATGTAGTGCAAGCACCCTTGGGACCGTCCAATATAATCAAACAACGTCCAGCTTTCCCTGCCTGCCTGACATGGTAGAGGGATGATCTTCTGTATGTTCCCTTCCACATCTAACACAGTTAGCTGATAGTACTTTTCCTGAGGAGAGAGCAGATGTAGCATGCCATTAACATAGACACAAGGAAAGCCAGGTACTATATGATAGCAGCCCTGTCACTTTTGCTACGACTCCATCCCTGAGTTTTTGATGAGTAGACGTGCAATGATTTTTTGTATCCCTCCTTGGAGAATTGGACCAAGTTGAAGTGGCAAGGGGCACCTGGGTCGACAAGCAAATAGGTTAACGCAGATCCATAGAATATCTTATTCTGTTCCAAGCCAGATCTGGGCACAGCCACACATTCCTTAGTGGCAGGGTTGCACACAACATAGCTCCATGAAGCGCCCCAATCGCATTTGACGGCAAAGAGGAGGCCATTGCAGCAATGGACGAGCCTGGTGTTCTTAATGCCAGGCAGCTCAGTCACATAGGAGAAGTCCACAAGACGCACCGATCTCTGCAACACGTCGACGAAACCATAGCGAGGCAATTCATCTTCGTCGCTGTCCTCAGCGCCGCGGGCTTCGCCGTCCCCGCCGTAACAGGCGCAGGGCTCGTCGTCGCAGTCGCTTTCGCCATGACAAATATGCAATTCGACCATAAAGAAGAACCCTTCTAGGGCCTGGGGTAGCTTCTTGCAGTGGAGGGGATCGGCGATGAGGTCGCGCCAGGCCTTGGAGACGCACTTGAAGCGGCAGAGGGACTTGGCAGGGACGCGGGAGAGGATCTCCACCAGGGGGTCGTCGGGGAGCCCGGACGACGACGCCTCCGTGTCGCGTCTCCTCTTGGGGCAGTCCATGCCACCGAGAGCAAGCTACAGAACGCGGATCGATCGAGCGAAAGATGCGAGGCGCGAGCGAGAGATGCAGCAACGGGGAGGCTGGGGTCGACGGCGGCGACGGCGGCGCTGGCCGGTGCCGATGAACTGAAATCGAGTTGGGAAATTGGGGAATTTATTATAACCCTAGCTCTAGGCAGGACCGCAGCTGGAGGCTGGCCATTTGGGCTTGGGCCCTGGGCCGCATACTCTTGCTTTGCACAATTGCACTCATGTGACTGCTGTTCTGTTGCTCAAAAAAAAAGTGACTGATATTCTCTCTCCAAAAAATGAGAATAATTCTATCACTGTTCCAAAAATATCCGTTCCTTTCATACACGGGATTGCCAAATCCTTTGAATGAAACTGGTTAAAGAGCAATTCCCTAATCTATATAATATAGTCAAATATCCACATGTTACGGTGGCAGCTTTTTCATGAATTAGGCGCCACTTAATGTGTCGTTTTGGAGAGCTCGTAAACTGACTCCTTGGAATAACCTAGTAGCTAAATTACGCCACGTTCGTTTGGTTTATAAGCCGTACTTTTTCAGCCAACGAACAGTATTTTTCTCTCACAATAAATCAGCCAATAGTACTTTCGCCCATGGCTTATCAGCTAAGCGAACAGAGCATTAGTTGTGGTTTAACTTTCTAATAAAAGGACTATTTTTACCTTTATTTCATAATAAATACATATGGAAGTTGAAGTTACCTCTGACGATCAAGAATTTTATTTGGTGTCTTCAGAAGAGTGTGATTTTAACTAAAGACAATTTAGCTAACAGGAATTTGTCCGGTAGTCAGAATTATTGTTTCTGTGACCATAACGAAACAATTAAACACCCTCTTTTTTTATTGCCACCATCTATTTATATAATTGTTTACATAGCTTTGGGTTAACCCCACCTCGATCCATAGTTCGCATGCTTGGAAATTGGTTAACCAACATTGCTCAAAAGTAGTGTTCGGTCTGTAGGCTGAAACACAAATACCGGAGGGCGGCGACAGAAACGAGAATCATGAAATGGTTGAAATTTCGATCAGAATTTTCATGAGATTTTAGCTAAAATTTGAAAAAAAAATCTGAACGAAATTACCGGTACGTACATTTACCGGTGGTCACCGATAGAAACGAAAATCGCCGATTTTCGGTGAAAACAGGCCGAAATTCCGAACCCTGCTCAAAAGGAATGCTTTTTAATTTTTGTGGGGGTTGTTGCCATTATTTATGCGATTTAGTGTACACATAATGTTCTTATCCTTTTTAGAAAAAAAAACGCGTCATTTTCCTTTGTGCAAGCTCAATGATCATATCAAACCATCTTAGTCCTTAAGCATTAGCTAGGCTCAGTTATTTGGATGTAAGGAGCAACATGACATTAGCCTAGATAAATATACACTAATAGAAAAGTAACCATTATCTAAAAAAATAATAGAAAAGTAAAACTAATCAGTGAGCAAAGGGCTTCAATGTTCAGAATTCATTGCAATACACTCTATCCTCTTGGGCTTATATGTATATACATGAAAAAAGAGTATGTTATTCCATTCCGATCCTATGGAAATGCTCTGAAAGGTTATATATTCTTTTTATATGGCTGTCTGTAATCATAGATGTATCATACAGCCTGTTCGGGAGACCGTATCGTATCGTGGATTATTTACTGCTGACTGGTTTGGTGTGAGAGAAAAACACTATTCTCGACTGAAAATTTACGATCGTTTACGAGCAAGCGAACAGGCTGATAGTACTTAAAGGCTGATATATGCATACATAAATGGAAATATATTCAGCTACGGTACGATATATCCAAGCTTAAATCTGAATCAATGGGCTCTCGGCTGATGAAATATTCTGCTACGGTACGAGGCGCATATCTTGAAATGAAGTTCATATATTTTCTTTATTTGACACTGTTTTCTATATGTATATTACCCAAAAAAAATCGTAGTATTCTCACAGTGTATTCATGGATCGGATATAAAATCTATCTTTATATATATATTTTTTCATATAAACATTTTTTTCACCCCTATAAATAAATATAATCGAAAAAAAGATCCCCTATAAATATGAGCCCCGGAGGAGGCAGCTCCCTGCATTCGCTTATCTTTATCTTTCTTTATATATGAAACCTGCGCCTAAACCGCGGCCAGCCAGCGTGCCACGTCGCCAGCCGTTCCCGGCCGTTCGATTGGGCGCGCGGACGGCCCAAATCGGGCGATCCGCGGTTATTTTTCAAAAAAAAACCCTCGAACTTTAGTCGAATCAACTTCAGTCCAGGCCTCCTCTCAGGTTTTTTTGCAAAAATGCCCTCCCGCAGAGGTGTACCCCAAGTCTCCGAGCCTAGCGCAATTCCCCGTCTCATCTCTCTCCTCTTTCTCTTTCCCGGCTGCCGCCGCACCGCAGTGCTCGCTGCGCGCGCCTCCCTGCTCGCCACCGTCGCTGGAGCGCGAGGTCCCTACCATCTCGACGCCGTTGCTGGAGCGCAGGGAAAGAGAAAGAGCGGAGGAGCGCAGGTCCCGTACACGGAGGAGTGCGCCCAGATCTGCGGAAGCGACGGCGAGGGCGTGTGGCCATGGAGACATGGCGGTTGACGCGGCGGTGCTCGCGTGCTCGGAGCAGCAAACCGGAGGCGCCGATATGAACCGAGGGTACGACCGGGAAGCTTCTTCTGTACCTTATTAGACTTAGCTTCTTTCCCTTCTCCTTCCCTCAAGTTTGGTGTGCCATGTAGAGGGAGGTCCTCCGCGTGGATCTCGGCGACGGCTGTTAGATCCACGACGAGCACCACCAGATCCATGCCTGAGGATGAGGAGCGGTGCCATGGCGGCGGAGAGCTACGGTGAGGTCAGGAGCGAGGCGCGCCTGTGCTGGCGAGTAGCACACAGTAGAAGCCTGACTGCACCGCACTGGACCACTTCTACTTCCGCTCCTCTACACCTCCCGCTGCCTCCATTGTCCGGCTCCACAACCTCTCCACCAAAGCCATCTCTTATCTGGTGCGTGATCTGTGCCTCCATCAATCCATCTCCATTCAAGAGTATGCCTACTCTGAATGATCGTACTCCACATGACTGAGAGGCTGCAAACGGGTCACTACATAGTGAGTTTGTGAGTGGATCTATGATTTTTACCTATATGTACCTACTGATTAGTTTTTGTTTTGATTTCCTGCTCTCTTAGGTCATTTCTCATTAGTGAAGGACACTGCAAGGACGGATTGGTGTCTTTGCCCACTGCTCTGAGCTTCCTGTCCAGGATTTCAGAAGGCATGTCTGCCGCTGCTGGGATCGTCTTTTGGTTATTGCTGCGTTTCTAAAGAAATCTGCTATACATACAAATTTGGACTCAGTTTGATAGTAAGGGGGGCTAAGGTTTAAGTTACACTTATGAGATTAATTTTCATGATATGTGGGCCGTATTAGTATGTCATATTACTATTTTCATCATGGAGATTCAGATCCACTTCTCAGATATTGTTATTATTTTGTTAACCAGGTAACTTGTGATTTCTATCAAGGGCCTATGACCTATCCAAGCACAGCACGACATTTTTTTAGTATTCATCAGGCTGCCGGTGCTCTTCGGAAGATTCAGATCATAAACATCTTTTTCTTTGTTCAGTTCTCAACTATATATTTGTGCTACATCTAAATGAACTGGTCCATATGTCCTGTGCCGCGGCAACGCCGCGGGTTTTTTCTAGTTACTTCCAATCTCTCTCTCCCCAACATTTCGTTCAACATGATCAAGGGCGGCGGCGGCGGCCTGCGGTACCTGATGATGCCCATCCTATTCATTGTCCTCATCTTGTGGTCAGCAATGTCTACCAAGTGTGCCTGTACGTACGTCATCATATCTTTCTGGTGTTTTCTCAACCTCCCTGTCGTTGTATACACGAGGGCATTACCAATCTTGAATTCTCGAAGCCCTGTCTGAACGTGGTTTGATTCACCTCAAAAACCACATGTGTTAATATAGATTGGGCCGGAGTAAAATTTAGTTTAAGTTTCACTTGAATCCATCCTGACCCATGTGAATTACTGCGAATCCGATAACATCGAACAAGACACGATGAATTATATATAAAATGTTGGATCAGAGCAGGTCGTCTTGTCGCACACGAGGCCGCAACGCAAGGGAGCTACGCAAAAGACACAATAGGTTCAGACGACGCTGCCGCGGTGAACTCCGCATCTGGAGATGTCGACAGTAATTAGGTCTACTTGAAATTTTGCACTGAGAATTATTGTAAATTCAAGATATGCTACTGCTGCCAGATGGATCAACCGCATCCTGTTTTTGTTACTACACGCGGGAGGAGTGCAAGGCGGCATGCCCCGCGTGCAACCCTCAGTGTCCACCGCTGGAGAATAACCCAGATCTGCCGACGAACGCTACCTTATAATAAAGGTGTCATTAGATGATCTTAAAAGAATCGTCACACTATTGCTGCTCGTTTGAGCTTATAATATAATAATAATAATATATTCCTTTGAAAAAACCTCTGTTTTCCAAACAGGTCAAAAAAAAAAGGTGCTATTCTATCCGTGCATACGGTGAACTGTGCTATATTAAAAAAAGACTTAAATACACTAGCGGCCCTTAAATTTATAGCTCTGTGCCACTTAGATCTACGAACTCATAAAACTGAAATCTAGCTCCTGAACTTGTTAAGTCGTGCATCGCAGGCCATACCCCTTTATGTAGCCGCTGACTTGGATAAAATTTTATAAAAAAATACCCTAAAGTCATCTCCTACCTTCAGCAGGTGCAGCATGGCACACCGCCGGCGCCATCATGCCCATCTCGACCGCTCGAAGTCGCGCTTATCGCGCAATCTCAAATCGGCCGATCACCGAACTCGAAGTTGTCGTCATTGTCCGACCCGGCCAGAACAGCATCGAAGAATGCAAGAGCAACTAGTCGAGTGCGAGGGGACGAGCCTCGTCTCCGTCGTGGTTGCATTGCAGGCG